GCTCTATTTAATTATTGCAAAGTATTAATAAAACATTTTTTATTGTATAAGTTCCTGCATAGGCAGAAGCATTAGATTAAAACAGGATATATTTAAATAAAAATTGTATCACTAGAATCTTGACTTAAAGCTTTCGTGACTGCAGGCATTCATACTCTTTGGGTCTTTCGGTAAAGTCACGTAGATAGAAAAATAATTGTAAAAAATCACGACGTTTCGATCGGAACACAAGCAATCGTCTTCAGGTGAAAAAATACAGCAGGAGAACTGCTGAGGCAATCGAAAACGTCGTGATTTTTTTATTATTATTTTTTCTGTCTGCGTGACTTTACCGAAAGACCCAATGAGTATGTATCACGAGATTTGAGCAGATTGTGTGTAATATAGAGCCAGGTGTATTTTCATATTGGCAAAAGTTATTGTCTAATGTGCAGTCTGCTGTTAAAAGGTTACTTTATACTTTTCCTGTAACAGTATATCATTACAAATCAATTCAAATCATTCAGTTCATCTACACATCTCTTATATTACATTTCCATGCTGCATCAGCATTATTAAAAAAATATGGATTGTTTCCTGATTTAGACTGGAAGAGTGTAGGGGCAAGTGCTGTTTGCGAGAACATATTAATGCCAGTACCAAGACTCACTATTTTTCCTCATGCTAATGTTTGAATACCCTACTAAATTATGGGTGAGACGACCTGAGCAGGTCTAGGAAACGTTTAGATGCCACTTACCGCTCATAATAATTTTAATTTACACAGTTATCACTCTGGGAATAGAACCCAGGTTGCCAGGATCGTAGAGCGGTGTACTAACGATTGAAGCCCTACTTCCGGCAATAAATACAAATGTATGTGGAGAAACAGAATTGCTTTTTAACACATTACAAAAAAATAGAATCTCTGCTGCCCTTGTAAAATCCAACCCCCTCCCCCCCCCTGCCTTCCATCATGTCGACTTCCCGCCCCTCGTCAATTCCAAGCTTAAGAAGTTTACTTTTTCCTTTGCCTGTGGATTTTGCTGCTCTCTGCTACTCACCACAGTCCTGCCTGAGCCTGCATCATCTGCCTATGACTGCCTCTCTACAAAATAACTTCCCACAGTTTCTGTGCATGATCTTGAGGGGAAGTCAGATTTAGATGCTATACGAATCCATTTTGCATTGTATTGTTGTCAACAAATGTTTTCCCATTCTTTGTGTGTGTGTGTGCATTTGCAGCAAGGGGACTGCTTGATCAGTCATGTGGTGACGATGGATCTGTCGCGCTTCCCCGACGAACTGTCGGCCGACAGGTCCCATCAGCGCCGCGAACACGACAGCGCCTCTGTGCACTCCGCTTTATCAGAGAATACGTTCACTCCGAATTCCTCTCTTGCGTAGTGTTCCTTCCACTACTCCTCGCTGCCTATGGCCACGTCTGTCTGCAGTCCCTAAAGCAGAGGTGGGGAACTTACTAACTAATTAACTTTAGTTGCAGGTAAGGCCCACTGAGCTATGTAGCCCTTTTTCAGAAACGACCTGGCCACGTGTGATAGCCTAATGAAGTGGCTTTTCATGTGGAAATTTATAGCAGCCAAATACAGTAAAACCTTGGATTGCGAGCATAATTTGTTCCGGAAACGTGTTTGTAAGCCAAAGCACTCGTATATCAAAGCTAATTTCCCCATAAGAAATAATGGAAACTCAGATGATTAATACAAAATACCTTTTTATATTTTTATTTAATATAAAGTAATACAATTTATTAATTAAATGTAATCGTGGCTGGTGTGAGGGAGACGAGAGAGAGGAGAGGAGGAGGGGCCATTGTTGCAGTACAGTTACTAAAGAACAGTCACTACACTTGGACACAAAATAAAAAAAAATGCTTTACGCACACACACGTGGTCACAACACTATAGTAAACAGTATACGTTTGCACGGATGTTGACTATACGAGTGAGGCATGCCGACTGAGACCGAGCATGGGAGACGATTACCCACAATCCCGCAGTGAGAGAGAAAGAAGAACCATTGGCTCAGTTGTGATCACGTGACGCTCGGCAGACAAAGCTTATACGTACTACTCGTATTACAAGACCTCGCTCGTTTATCAAGTTAAAATTCATTTAAAATTTTTGCTCGTCTTGCAAAACACACCAAGTTACTCGCAATCCAAGGTTTTACTGTACTCGAAATGCACATTTCTAAAAAGTGGAGTAAAATAAGCTTGGGAACCTGGATAAAAATCCACTTGACCAGAGGGAGAACACGGAAACTCCAAATATAAAGGCGACAGGATCGGGATCGAACCCACGACCTCCTGTATACCAGGTGAGGTAGTTAACATCTTGGCACCAGCCCCTTAATTTAATGTGGCCCATAGCTTTGAAACGGCCCGCAAATAATAATTATGCATTACTGCAAGCAGTTTCGCCGTAGTGGTCGAATACTAAAGGGGTTTTTTTTTTCCACCAGGCAACAACACTGTTTGAAATGCTAGCATATTCAGACTTTTATCGCCGTAGTGGTCGAATACTAAAGGGGTTTTTTTTTTCCACCAGGCAACAACACTGTTTGAAATGCTAGCATATTCAGACTTTTATCAGTGCAAAGGTTTATTTCAGTGACAGAAGTGATTGAGGTGTGTATTGTGTCATTACCCGCCAAAGATATTTGAAATTCTTACTCGCCGCTCGAGAAAAAAGATTCCCCACTGCTGCCTTAAATGAAGGCGTCTCTAACCAATGACCAGACAGCTCTTGTAAATATGCATCAAGGCAGTGTGTCCTGGGCTGTCCTTCGTGAATTTGAAGCTTTGTTAAAGTAAAAAAAAGGTTTTTTCATAGTGCTCTGGTGATGTCGAGGCACTGATATATTGAAACGATTAGAATTATACACTGAACAAGGTACACAGAACAGTGATCGTCGGTGAATGTGTACATGTACAGCCCTCAATTAATCCACTGCTGCATGAGGGCCTCCACAAGCCAATTTCTAGTATTTACACAACAGTAATTAGAAATGTACAGTCACGTGATACTTTTTGCAGAGTGTAACATAAATGCAATATTATTTCGTAACTAAATTACATTAACGCATTTTATGTTCATACGTTTTTCATGTGTATTCGCCTCTCTGGGTTGTTAATAACAGATAAGATATTCTATTTCTGTATCCTCTCACTATGTAAATAAGCGATGATTATTGCATCTAAATCCTAATTTACATACGTTTGGCATTTATTTTATTTTATCCAGGCCACCCCTTCATCCATTACCCCAAATAATCGAGAGTTGACTCGTTAATTCGGTAGGACATTGAGATCATACCAATTGCAACTAAACATAGATTTTAGGGGGGTGAAACGCCGTTTAGTTTTTGTTCCAATAGTCGGCTCCAAATGCATTGGTTCTGCCGTTGATTATTTCCACATTGAGAAACCCAGAAATCATCTGTTTGATCTTTCTGTAAATCTTAGCCTCGTCTCGAAGCTACATCTGCAGGGCGTGTTGCGGAGCCTGAGAACAGCATTTAGGCCGCCACATGGCTTTGCATTTAATTGCATATTCCATTCATGTCGCACTCTAGACGTTTAACTTGTTGGTGTTACCTTCAGTGGGCTGTTTGATGAAACTTCTGCCATTTGCAGTTAATACCAACCCAACATGTGGTTGAGAATGTTATTTGAAAAAAATTGTTTGTTAAATGGGGGGTGAGGAAGTTTACTAATTATTGTTACAGATTTAATGTTTAAAAGTGTTCACTGCTAATTTTATAAAGCGGAATAAACGTTTTGAAGTTCGTGTATTGTATTTGTGGACTGACAAATGCTTTGTTTAACAATTATAATATTGGTACAAAATGTACATCCCTTTATCAATCCAATGCTTGGTGAAGTCCTTCCCATGCCTTTCAATCAAGAGGATATTTCGCCATGCTGATCAGTGCAGACTGGGTAGGTGAATCACCACGATCAGTTCACTCGCTGTTGATGTTAACCATAGCCATGAATTGAACTTGTCGTGGCGTTCACAGCACGTTGTACTTTATGCACCACCGCTCTTCTGTTTAAAGTGGGTGTGAAATGATATTTTACATCCCCTACTCTGCAAGTGTTTTTTTTTCCCGGTCGGGCTACGTGTTGAGCGTTCCCCCTCAAGCTTTGCGTCATGCGCTGCTGTGAGCATCTTCAGGACCGTTGCATGCCCGCAGCAGGACGTGGCAAAAGCGTTATGAGAATAAATGCCCGACACTCATCCCTAGCTTGGATTACAAGCGACGGTGAAAACTTTCGGAATCTTACATCATTAACCGGTGTGTACAATTCGTCCGAGTCGGGTACACGTAGCTAACACTGGGAGATGGCAACAGGACTATTTAGGGTATCACTTAAGCATATTTACCCCTTTCTAAATAACATTTGTTTTTAATTTCAAATTTGATATTGTTGGTACCGTCATTAAGAGAACCGTTGTTGCATGATATATGAACTGGACAGTTGAAAATGTTGAGCCTCGGGTGACTTTTGTTAATCAGAGTTTATAATTGAAGGGGTCTGCAGCTCAATTATATGGCTTAATTTACTGTGCCTATGGCACCTGGGCCCCTTACATTGATTTTACAAGGAAATCTGCTTGTCACTTATAACTATTCTATACAGTAAATGCTGCAGCACAAGATGACGTGCGCAGCTGTATGCCAGTGAACACCAACAGTTTAAAATTAATGGTATACATTTGTGAGGTGCTATCAAAAGTTTTGAGAGCACTGCCAATTGTTTCCATCAATGTTTGCTAAATGTAAAGCTTGAGTTTTATACATGCAATGTGTTTACTCTATGAGTCTAACAATGCATTGATTAATGTCGGTTTGTAATCTTAAAATAGTTTAATTGTGCTCTTTTAAACATTAATCTCTTTTTTGCATGTGTTGTATATAATGGTTCACATGACTCGTACAACCACTGCCTGATGCTGCATTCACCACACTGTTAAAAAGAATAGGTTACTGACTCAAATCGTGATCCTGAATTGTAATAATTAGCCCTTGTGTCATTTTGAGAGGCGTTTGGATTAACACGCTCATGGTTTAATGTATTACAAAAAAATGTGGTCGCTGGTAAACTGAAATAGGTGGCACGTGACTCGTAGCCACGTCCATAGTGAGATATATACTTGATTTGGTATGCCGGATGTGGAAATTCTGGGTTGCTGCATCTAGAGACGTGCAGCTTAAATTCAGCTCTGGTTACGTCTCCAAAGCACACTATGAATATACCTTTGTAGATTGGTAACTTTGTGAATTCGGTTTGCTATTACAAAACCTGAATCAGATTAACACAATTCACTTCAGCTTTTCCATCCTCTGGTGACACAGTGTGGTTGACACGTGCCCTGGTGCACGAAATTAAATGTGGGAGGGCGGGCCCTGTCAGATTTCCCCCTCCTCGGCACCTGGGCCCTTTCGGCCCACTGGCCCTGGTGTAGTTGCACCGCCTACATACACACTTCCATGGCTATGCCACTGCTCTGGATGGACTAACAGAGGTGTAATTTGGATAATTTTTTGTCCACAGTGGTATAGCTGTTAGACTGTTCTAACTTAACATTCCTACCTCCGTCTCCACCTTGTAATTAGGCTTGGCTGCGTATGGCTCACCCCTGCAGGGCGTTGTTAATGGGGCCCACAGAGGAGTTTGGGATGAAAAGGGGCGCATTGTACATTGTACCAATGCAGCATTGAGGAAATGACAGGAGAATTGGCTTTTATTTGTAATTGTGTGGGTCCCTGTGTGTTTTTTATGAGCTTATACTGTAATGCTTTTCAGGAATGTCCTATTTACAGACTTGGCCCCTTTGTCAATCCACTGCCGCGTCAGTCATGGGGTTTGTTTTGCTGAATGTCACCACGTTCAGTGGTGGTTGGTGAAGTGACAGGGGGGGGGGACTCACCGCTGATATTAACCATGACTGGAAATCAAACCCGAGCCGCTGTGTTTATCGTGAAATGTGCTAACTATTACAGAGCTGAAGTATAGCCACAGTAAGTGCAGAACCAAATTTAAGATAAGGGGAGGTGGGTTTACACGGTCATTAGTGACCAGGCTAAGACTATCAACTCGCCACTTGAGAACCCAGCTTGATTACAGGCGGCTGCCTGGATTTAAAACCAGAATCTCACTGTGGTACCAGCTTGGCACTTTTGTCTTCTGAGCCACTTGGCCACATCAAGTAAATAATCTAGTTAATGTGCACTGATTACACGCTCGCATCACGTGTGATGACCACGTTTGGAGAGGGCTCGTGAATGGAGTTATGTTGATGGCATTGGTGTCACTGCCCATCACTGTCAACTAAAATAACCACGAGTGCATTGCATTAGCTGCTCATTTTGAAAAATGTCCACGACTTTGTTCATGTATTATACGCAGTGATTTAACTTGCAGTGATGAAGTGTTCACATCGTATGCTAATTACTGAAAAAAATCTCCTTTTTCATAACTATCCCCTGAAGCCCATGTAAACATGTTACGTATATTCTGGTCAAGATATGTCAATTCACCACTCATGTATTGCAAAGCACCATTGTTAAAATGTCATACTGAGCTGGAATACATTTTTACGTTCATGCTAAAAAGCGCATAGAGCTTTCATCACTTTTGGCAATCCAACCGCAAAGTTGGCAGTGTGATCCACAGAAGACATTTTTTTCTATAGCTGTAGGAAGTGTGACTGCTGCACATTGGCACAAAGACGTTACTGTATGCGGATCCTGGAGCAATGGGGAAACGGGGTCCCCCCCTCCTCCTCCTCCCTTCTCTCCTCCCCTTCCCGCCCCTCTTCCCAACTTTCTCCCAATCGGTTTTCCGCCCCTGACCCTCCCGATTCACACACACATGTGGCCACGGGCAGAGCAAACAAAGGGAGGCAACCGCTGCACGGTTTGGACTGGGACCGCCCGCCCGCCTGCCTGCCTGCCTTGCCAGCATTGCCGTTAAGCACTACGTGTAGTGTGCCATGCACGCTGCTCATCTGGATCTGTAAGCGATTAATATTGCACACAAGCATTTCTTGTTTATGATCTTTTTTTTAAAAAAAAACTTTGTTTTATTTAAATCAGGCGAGCCGTGAGTTGTTTTTTTTACCGTTGGGATTCCACAGGTAAGAGCGCGTACGGAAACAAGACGGAATACGTTGGTGCTGTAAATTTGTGTGAATTAATGCGCATAAGGTGGGATGGTAATCTGAACGCCATGCCAGCAAGTTTGGGCAAAAACCAGCCTTTCTATTTAACATTAACTGTTTCACCTAAGAGCAAGTTAACAAATTGGTGATGAGAGATATAGTGAAAGGCAAAGTAAGATCTACTCGATGACACTACTGGATTTAGGCACTATAATCTATTTTTAATCAAAATGTCCAGTTGCCCCAACTTTTCGCAATAATTTTTTTACGAAATGGTAACGTGCTTTTTCATTGAATAAGTACCGTAAATATAGTTTGAAATGTTATACTTTGGGCTTTTTTAGTATTTTTTATTTAAATGCAATGTAGGGTTGCGACTATTTGCACCGCTGCAAGCTGTACTGCATGGAATGTTGAACGCTGTAATTTTCTTTGCGGCCCATGTGTTATCTACTTATCTGACGCAGTTAACCTTTTGGCCGAGCGGCCAAAAGGGATTTGCTTAGTTCACGTGGTTTGGCTTCAAACGACCGAACGTTCAAATTGCCCCCACCTCTGCCCCCCCACGATGAGATTAGCTAAATAGAAGAGTGCTGAATGGCAGATGTCAAAGTTACTTTCATGTGATAATGATTACCCAGGAAATTGTACTTTGGCAAGGTGACCCACATTTCAAGCAAATTACAAGACTGAAAATATATATTACAGTGATTTGATACAGCCCTGAACTGGTGGTGGAAATTCCGCATTCCTATGGCAGTAGGAGCAAGTCTATTTTAGACCAACCGCTGTTGACTTCCCCACAAAGTGCTACTTTATCGATCCGGAGTGATGATGGACCGAGTCAACCCCAAACCTGGATTGCAAGCCTCTCGCCTGCCCAATGAGTTATCTGGCCAGACGGATTTATATTGAAATTTTTAAAAAATGCCATCTTGGACAATATAAATCTGCAGGCCATGTAAATGGTAAGCACAACCATATTGAAGCCATAATTCCATTGACCTTGTTAAGCGGTGCTAACTGAAGTCTGGCAGACTTTTGAGGAAGCAGCATTTTTAATTGCCTAAGCAATGTAAACATCCAAATAACTGACGTGGGTTTCGGCTGACAACGTGATGGGACCAAATACTGATTGTAATAGAACCGCATAGACTTGTAAGTTACCAGCGTGTACATGCACAGCCCCTTTTTTTATCAATCCATTGCTGGATGGGGGGGGGGCTACCCCAGGCTGTGCGAGTCGTGAGGGTTATTTGACCATACTTCAGGCTGGTCGTGTCCCGTTTGGTGAAGGCGGGGGGGGGGCGTTGACATGGGAGTTTAGAAATGCGGTACAGTAATATCCCGGTTTGCGTTGGGGATGTGTTCCTGAAAGGTGCGACGAGAATTATCGAGACGACGTAAATCGGAGCGATTTACGGGGGGGGGGGGGGGGGGGGTAGCTGGAGGCGAATGCTGAGAGGCGACGCTGTCGGCGACGTGTTGGGTGGGTTGAGGCGATGCAAATCAGGTAGTGCTAATAATAAAGTGACGATGTGTGTTGCGAAACAATGTAAAATGAGATGTAAATTGGAGTGTTACTGTACAACAAATCTGTGTATAAATATCTTAATTTCCTTGCAGGTCCTAGAGAAGCGAGCTGTCTTAGTGGGTGAGCAGGCTTCTCGCTCATCTGGAGGAAAGGGGTGAGTGGCCACTGTCTCCTGGTCATCACTGCTTTTACACCCTTTTGGACAGCACTGTTAATTTCGCTCGAGAAAATTAGTTAAAATATATTGTCAACAAACCTTTTTTTTAAGTCAACCATTCATATGACTGGACGAAAGCCATCCAGCGTGATGGGTACTGGCGACCTGCCAAAGGCCAAACGATAACTGACGATGAAAATTAACACGTGAATGAAGACGCAGACTAAGGTTATTTAGTTACGGTATTAGAGGCAGCAACATTAAAAATACCAAAAAATTGAATTGGCCTATTCATATAAATACAGAGATCACTGATTGGCTGACCTGATAATATAGGGGAACTGAAAGATGCCCCTCATACATTTAACAACTAAGCATGGACAACATTTTGACTTCATTGGTTGATTAGACTAAGAGAATGACAATTACATCCACAAACAGACTTTAACATTCCACAGATTGCCATTGAATAATTTAAGACTGTGCCAAATTCTAAACATTCTGACAACACTGGCTTGGGATCATCTGCAACACTGGGCATTCACTTCTAGCTGAGCTGACCTAAAGGTGGCACGCGTGGGGCACTGTTTAACGACAGTCTATTGCCGCGTTCCTGTGAGCCACGGCTACACGGCTTGGGAACTTACAGGAGTCGTTCGATTTTTCCAACTTTAATTGGTTGACAATTCGGGCAGAGACCCCAATTCTCTGGGCAAATTTTGCTTTACGTGTGTTTGTCCTGAATTCTCAATGTCCGAATTGGAGCCGAGTATAAATACGTCACCAAACATGTTTCGATCGAAGCTGCTGTTGGTGGTGGGAATTATTTAACTTGCCATGGGACATTAAATGCATAATTTTGTCAGCAATTGCGGCCTTGACCATTTACTCGCAAGCTTTTCGGAGAAAGCTTTTCTTGGAAGTGTTTCTGGGAAAGACCAACCCAAGCCGGTTGTGGTGGCTCGACTTGACACATCATGGAAACGCCACTTTGTGTTTACCAACCCGATCTATCCTCCATCCCGAGTTGAGGCCACGCATTTTAAGTTAACACATTTCTATAGATTTTTTTTAAAAACTAGATTGAAAACTCATTTAGAACGGCTTTTTGTGTTTCGTTATCGTTCCCTCGCACCTCCGATTTGCATGGTTGGCTACTTATGGTGCGAAAGAAGTTCCACATACGTTACAGTGACTCTTCGGTCTGGGCAATTTGTCAGCCGCAACCCACGTGAGCACGTTTTTCGGATGTTTCCTTTTGTTTGGCATTCGCAAATGCTTCTTTGAAAAAGCAATAATCTAAAAAGTTTCATAGTAGCAATCGGTGATACACAAGTGCTGGTATACGACGTTATGTCTTACCGGCACTTCTCAGAACACCAAGTGTTTGTGTCGGCACTATTCACAACGGTTTCTATCCCTATGCTACGATGTTTCTGCAGAGGGTTAATGCCAGTTAACATGGTGCTGCAGGACTATGCCGACACTTATGACGTTCCATTTTGTCCACTGGTTATCGTCGTTTGCCAAAAATGATATCTGAAGCTCAGGACAACTCAAATGCACTAGCCGACTTGAGTTGTCTGCCCAAGGACACTAAGTATATTTTAAGGATTCAGATGGGCGGCTGTGTGTGAATCTTGGTTGGTGTGGGGAGATCCCTCTACACTAAATGAGCGATCCTAAAGACGGACAGAGAAAATGGGGAGAGACGGCGGGACACGGAGACATTGATGCCGAGAGCAACAGGCAGAAAGGGGCATGAGAGACAGACACGGGCGTGGAGAAAAACTACACGGAGTCATGGAGAGTCACACTAAGGGACATAGGGACACAGAGAGATAGCTACAGATGTGACGATAGGCAAATAGAGATAGGGACACCAAAGAGATGGACACTGCCATTGAAAAAGAATCGTGGAGGGAGACAAAAAAGACATACTGAGAGATGAACAAACACGTGAAGAGACACAGATACACCCCAGAGACTGACACTTTGGTGTCTAAGCAGTGGGGTGGCGCGATTGGTGTGGCCCTTGGTGTGCAATGAATGGAATTGGGGCCTCGCCGTTCAATAGCCCCTGCTCTTCGTTGCCCTGCTCTTGGGCCCCGCGTGTCTTGTGTGTGTTGCACATGCAAAGATGGCATTGGATGTGGATGCAGGACACACTGACAGCCGTGTGACCCCTGTGTCCAAGTCGTGGACGTGAATATCGATCGATATTTCTGCAGTATGGAGTACTGTTGACTTTTTCTTTATTACTGCAGCGTAGTCACAATTCTGTATGAACTTGTAAACAGGGCAGGCTACGTTGCCTAACGGCCTGAAGACCCTCGCACAAATGCCTTTGGGTCACGCACTGGACTGGTGCCTTGCGCGCATGCGCTAAATAAATCGAATGCCTTTTCTTAAGAATACATTCAATCCGTGGCTGCTGAACGGCACTTATTGAACACGTTTTCTTGAGCGTCGATACGTTTTTTTCCTGCGGTCCTACTGTCCTATGGAACAAACCACACTCAATTGTACGTATACGAATGTCAAAGATCCCCCGTATAGCCTTTAACAGACTGTTGGGGCAAGTGCTGTTAGCGAGCACCTATGAAGGCCAGCACTGTGGCACACGAGGGGGTGGGTGGCCAACAACCACGCCCGACCGCCTTTGTCTGCCCAGTGGCGATGTTTACGCACAGCACCAGGTACTCATTTGAGGCCGAGTCGATCTAGGGGTGGCCCAACACCGGTTCAGATAATCGTCACTGGTGTTGGCCATGAGCGGGAATGGAATTCGGGTCGCCAGGTTCTAAGCACAGCGCGTAACCGCTGCACTACCACACCCCTAAATTGTACACACACACACGTACGGTATATGTATATATGCCACTGCTGTAAGCTGCAAAACTTCCGCAAGGATCAAGGAACGCTGTCCGACATGTGACGGCTGTTTTCACTTAGCGTCGATTCACATCCGTCTGTATAATTAATAGCACGGCCATGGGGTCTTTGTAGTTTTACTGCTCTCCCGGATGACACAGTTCTTTTTTTAAATATATATTTATGAACTGCAAAGAGCTTCAAACGTTTACATCGATGCGCGTTGGTGTGTGATATTACCGCGTGAGGGGGGAGTTTAAAAGAAAGAAAAAAACGACGAACTCTACGGGAAGAGGTGTGGCCGACCTGACCGAGTGGAATAAATACAAAAAATGCCCCTCAATTTATTGACTCGTTCGGATTTTTTTTTACATATTTGTTTTTTTGTCTCGTTTCCGGCCACATGGCTCAGCGCTAGGAGTGAGCGGAAAGGTTTTAGAATTGAAATCCTGGTTGTGGGCTGACTCGGCCTGTCTTCCATCTGGGGTCGAAAAAAACGAGCACTATTTTTTTGGGAAAGTCTACAGTGGTTGTCCTAATATTAGACTAACCCCCGCCATAGGAATATGGAGTTTCCACCACTGGCTCAGGGCTGTAAAACATTTCGAGCATGAGATCACCGACTGTCTTGTTCAAATTGTTTATTCCTTTAACCTCATTTGCCAAAAAATTAGTCGGCTCCCCGCCAAATATGTTGCGACATTTGTTTATAATTTACATGAATTGTAAGCATTCGATTCTCACACCCGCATCTCAACTCGTGTATCATCAGCATCTCCAATTAGCACGTTTGACTACGTACGGTGCAAAAGAAGTTCAACATACATGCATACATGAGAATCGACTTTAACCAAATGTAACCGTTTCATTGTGACTCGCCCACTGTTTTCCAGCAGGTGCCTGATCCACACTTCAGAAACAACAACCCCCCACAACTTCTCTCGACACCATGACCGCTGACAATTCCAGCGCAAGCTCGTCCCACCTTTTGCGCAGAACGGCGCTGGCGCTGCTGCTGCCGCCGCTGCTGCTGTGCCTGTCGCTGCCCTCGCTCCCGTCCCTCGCTCAGCCGACCTCCGACTGCTCGGGGGTCGCCTGCCCTGAGCTCGCCAACTGCCTGAAGGACGTGCTGGAGCACGGCCAGTGCTGCCCGACGTGCCTCCTCCGCGGCTGCCCCTGCGAGGGCCACCGGCGCCGGCGGTGCATCGACGCCGGCTACAGCGCCGGCTCCGTCCCCGAGGGCGTCTCGGTCTTCATCAGCGGCGTCCCGGGCGGTGCGGGCGGCGGCGCCGACGTCATCGCACCGGCGGGCGAGGAGTGCCTGTGCCCGCTTGGCGGCGGCGTGCTGGGCTGCGTGGCGCTGTCGGCGCCCTGCCCCGAGCTGCCGCCCCACTGCGTGGAGACGGTGCAGGGCGCCGACGGCTGCCCGCAGTGCCTGCACCTGGGCTGCCTGGGTGACGGGCGCGCCTACGCCGCCGGACACACGGTGCAAGCACCCGGGTGCCGCCTGTGCCACTGTCCCGCGTCGGGCGGGGAGCTGCTGTGCTACCCGCTGCTGCCCGACTGCGAGCCGGCGCTGTGGGACACTGCCGGCGCCACGTCGTCCGCCGGCGCCACCGGTGCCAGCTTGTCAGAGCAACAGCAGCAGCAGCAGCAGCAGCAGCGGAGAGCAACCGGGAATGGAGACGGAGACGGGGATGGAGGCGATGACGCCAGCAAGCGCGGTGACGTCAGGCAACTGCAGTACGAGGTACGACCGTCGCAGTGGAACGGTGCGCCGGAGGAGGTGGTGCCGGGACCGGTGGAGAGCACCGGCGAATCCGACGAGGTGGCGGAGGCTGCCATAAATGAGACTGCGGCGGTGACGGCGACGACGGCGATGCATGGAGAGGGGCGGCCGGCAGGGGCGGCCATGGGAAAGGCCGTCGAGAGAGACGGGCTGCAGCAGGCGGGTGAGGAGGCGGTGGGGCGAACGGGGCCGCCACGGGCTGGTGCAGGAGGAGAGGCTGGTGGTGTTGGAAATGGCTCTGAACCGGTTCCTCTCACCAGCCTGACCAACGCAGGTAAAGGCCACTTTGTTGATTTTTGTCTGCTGGGTGGTGTAACTCGGTTTGCATGGGGCCCTGGTTTTAGGAATGAAACTGGGGTGGAGACCCTGTTCATTTTCCACACCACCTCTTTGTAGCCCAAAACCCGTTCGCCTGCGGCCCATGTGCGGTTGCACCGCCTGCACACTTCATGGCTGTACCACTCTCTGCCGCGGTGGTACATTTTTCTGAACTGTCTTTGTGAAGTTTGAGTGCTCGCCTCATTGGCATAGGGTTTCTCTGGGCATTCTGGTTTCCTTTCTCGAGCGAAATCGGTTTTATTCAAACCATTATCAATTGACGAGTCACATGACCTGCGAAGCATAACAGATTTTTTGACTTGGGAAAATAACGGAGACATCTTATGAAGGTGTAAAGGCATATGGTTTCAGTCTTGTTTATTATGTGCACACGTTTGAAATAAATAAAACGTCAATCTTATCCTGAGAACACATAAAATGATATTTCCACCCACCTAGTCTCCCACCCTCTATCCTCATTTTACGAGACGGGGCAGAGGTTCAGAATGCTGAGCTGACACCACTAAAACGTTGGGTGCAAATCCAGGCAGCTGCCTGTGATTCAATTGGGATCTAAAGTGTAGGGAGTTGATGGTCTCAGCCTGGCCACCAATTGGTTGCACAACAAACCCCCCTCATATCTTAAATTTGGTTCTGCATTTACTTTGGCTACATTCATAGTTCTGTAGTAGCACACTGCACTATAAACCCAGCGCCTCGAGATCAGATATGCTTCTGCACTTAATTTGGCAAATTTTCCAGCTCTAAAAAAATGCTAATGTCAGATTGGCTGTCATGCAAGAAACGTTACTGTCAGTGATAGAGTGCTGCCACCAACTCTGCGTACCAGAGGTCACTTGTAGGGATCTCAGAGGTAGCTCATTAGCATCCGCTTCTGTGGGTCATTCTCTAGCGTGAAGGGTTACAATGCTATACCTTCCCCCCGCACCTGTTGTCCTTCCCCCCTCCCCCCCCACACCTACGATTAGCACGGTTGGCTACGTACGGTGCGAAAGAAGTTCAACGCACGTGCATGCCGAGGGTTGCGAATGGATTCCTCGTCTCGTGAATTGACGCCGATCGCATATTCAGTAACGACGATCGTGAGAACGTTTCTTCCTTGAGGTTATTTTGTTGCGCAACGCGCACCAGCGCCATCTGACCGTCCTGCCGGTGTCTTCCTTCAAAAGCCCCTCCGATTGCCTTCGGGGGGATTTCATGAACGACCGCTTTGTGGATTAAAAACGGGGGGGGGGGAGTTCGCCGGGTTCCACGGGCGGTGGTAAAAATATAAATAAACTAAAGAGCACTCGGACAGGTGTTGCGTTGCTTCGGTTTTAAGAGTGCCTTTGAAATGCCGGTGGCTATCGCCCCACAATCTCACCTTGCGAGCAGATGTTGCTGTGATGTGTTTTAAGTGGCGAACACGTTTGTTTGCCCGTCGGGTTTCCATGCCCGTTGCCCGAGCTCAAAGGAGACGGAGTGCTGAGGACTCGTCATGTATCAATACGCGTAAACCGATGAGGCGTTGGTTGTTAGCCAGTCGTCTGCATTTACCCCCATTGTATGCTTCAAAGTAACGAAAACAAGCTGAAGTGATTTTCTGTTCTATAAACTGAAACTAAACTATTTTTATTTTGCCACGGAAGGCCCACTGAGCTCTATAGCTATTTTCCAGAAGCGACCTGGCTATCACAAGTGATAGCCCAATGAAGTGGCTTATCATCATGTGGAAATGTTTATCAGCCAAATACTCTTAAACGCATGTTTCTAAATGTGGAGGGAAAAACCGGAGGACCTGAAGAACAATCCACGCCACCACGGGGGAGAGAGACGTGCAAACTCCAAATATACAATAGGCATCATGGTCGAGATTGAACCCACGACCTCCTGTATAGCAGGCGAGGTAGTTAACATCTCGCCACTGCGGTGGCACCAAATGAGCGTTGAGGCCTTGGCGCTCATTTCCCGTTTACAGCCACGAGTCGGTGGTGTAAATTCCACATTCCTGTGACGGGGGACGATTCTCTTCACATAACAACCACTGTTGCATAGGAAGGCCCTCATCCAGCAGTGGAGTGACAAAGGGCTGTAAACCATTATTATAGTACTGAATAACAGGCATGTGGCCGTGGCTGTGGTGAAGCAGTTAACACACTGGACTTTAAATCCAGAGGTCACCGGCTCATTCTCCCGACGCAGCAGTTCTTACAACGGTGCAATTTTCTTAAAATTTCTCCCCCACCTCTGTCCCACACAGCAGTATAAATTGTTACACCACGGTCGATCGACTTTGGTGGGGTAAAGTGTGGCTTCTCCCACCTCTCTTCTAAGATGTGTGACCAGCATGGCAAAAAAATACCGTCTCGAGCGGCTCATTTTAGTAGAGGGCCCCCCCCATCAGCAGTTGCGTGAAAGAGCAATTGCGGGGCTGCGCCTTCACCACAGATTTCATTTACGGAATAACAGACGGAATGGTTTTACATGAATTGTTTGCTGCTGATGCTGCTGCTGCATTAGCAATTAAGTACAATTAACAAACACAAAACTCGACACATTTGTCAATAACACGTGGCCATAAAATAAAAAAAATATATAATAGGCGACGTTTCGGGCAATGGCCCTTCTTCGTAGCACATGTTAATTCTTTGTGCCACGATTTTACATGGATGAATTTTTGCCGTGGCACAATTGCCCCGAGGCATGTCTTGTGGTAGAGCTATTACAACAAAAACACTCATGGACTTAACAAACAAACTCGAACTTGTTTATACGTGAACTTTGAGTAGATCGCATGGAAATTAAAACGCGTGGGCTGGGTTCATTTGGAAATTAGTTTAATCTGCAGCGATCAAGACCCCTTCCAGTGAAATATCCCGGCCGGAAAGCAGCGCGGTTCGGCTTGAAATCGACACAAAGGCGTTTTGTTTACGGTTTTGCGTTCATGGGCAGCCTGCAGATTGCCATCTCGCAGCGCGCACATTATAAATGTGTCGTCGTGAAAGCAATGCAATTCGCACAGATTCGTGTCGCTCCTGGGGAACGCGACTGCACGGAAAACAGCGGGGCACGTCTCGTTCTATATATGATTGAGAAATAATGGAGGCGATCACAGTCGTATCCGGAGGGGAAAAGGGAAGAGTCCTTGAGCCTTCTCGGCTTGCGTAGGCTTCATATGGTGACGCAAGACTCGCATATAAAAACCCATACCCTGGCGTAGGGAGACCACATTCAATTTGGATTTATATTTCGTGAAAAGCCAACCGCGTTTCCAGATTGCTGCACTGAAACGGTGAGTAATAGTTAATTTACATAGGGGGGTAAAGGATCAAAGAAGGACTTGAACTTGGGGCCGGCGGTGGGGGCTGTCCAAGTGACCTGTAATCCAGCACTGCGGTGGTGAGAGATGGTGGATTGCACACAAACCTGTTGAAATTTCCTTCTCATGGGCATCGAGATGGTACCATACCATGGCTGACTGGAAAAAGGCAGTACAGCAAACAGCGCCGCGGTGGCAAGATGTGTACGACCTCTCCTTGTATACAGGAGGTCTTGGGTTCAATCCTGACCCTGACACCTGTATATTTTGAGTTTGCATGGTCTCCCCGTGGTCGTGTGGATTTTCTCCTGGGTGTTCCGGTCTCCTCCCACATGAAAAATACTCTTCCAAAAGGAATTGGTCAAACATCCCAGTGCAGGACCCTCTTGAAAGAGTGTCTTAATACACAGTGAGGCTTTCCTGTAACAATGAAGGTCAGTAATCGCAATTAAAGCTAATGTATGCAAACATATTCTTCAATAATTATCGTTATAATTATTTAGAAGGGGAGGCCAAGGAAATTATTTTGTCGAACTGATGACATCGCTGATTTTAGATTGGCAGGTGGGTAGTAGATCTTTAGGTAGGTATGTATGTTGAACTTCTTTCACGCAGTACGTAGCCGGCAGTGTTAATCGCAATGTAAACGCAGTTGTGCCATTTCTTTATTTTTCCAGGATTTCCACTTATTTCTGGATTATGCAAAAGAACGTAATCTCGTGACCGACGAGGAAATAATTAATTCTTTTTTCTTTCATTGTTTACTTGAATTTATCTTGCCTGTTTAAGGATATTTGCGTTTGGATGAGAGCCCTGATTAAATGTCTTGGCTCTGCAGGCCGATCGGGGTGACGCAGTGATAGGTCATGAGTTCAAATCCCGGTCACAGCTTGACTCAGTCCTTCATCCCCCCAGGGCCAATAAAATAAATACCACTGTTGGGGCATTGTATGAACTATTTTTATTTTACCAGGTAAGGCCCGCTATGTAACTCTTTTTCAGAAGCGACCTAGCTATCACAAATAATAGCACAACGAAGTGGCTTATCATCATATGGAAATTTATAGCAGCCAAATTCTCATAAACGCATGTTGATTCGAAGTGTGAAGGAAAAAACCAGAGGACCCGGATGAAAATCCACGCGACCACCAGGAGAGAGATATGCGAACTCTACATATAGGCATCGTTAGAGTTGGGATCGAACCCACGACCTCCTGCATACCAGACGAGGTAAATAACATCTCGCCACTACGGCACCCTGCAGTGGTTGTCCTCCGAACAGACTCACACCTGCCATAGAAATGTGGAATGTCCATCACTGGCTCAGGGCTGTAAATTGGACGTGAGCGCCAAGTTGTTTGATCATACCTCACACCCTACGCTGGACAGTATGTATGTGTATATGTTGAACTTCTTTCGCACCATGCGTGGCTAACCATACTAATCGGAGGTGCAGTGTGGGTTGGTGAAGAGGGGTTCCCAAGAACCGATTCAGATATCGCTCCCCACTGATGTACGCCGTGGCAGGTAACTCAACTCGTTTGGACGGGTTCGTAGCTCAATGTGCCAACCGCTCTTCCACTACTCTCCACATTATAATGATTACAGTAATGCAATGTATAACGCGCGTGATAGCT